ATACACACATATATATATATATATATATGCATGGTTACAGAAGAGGTTTGACTGTGTGAATCTACTTTTTTTTATTATTTAGAAATATTGCTGAAATTTAGCATTTTGTACATTGAGGTACTATTATGTTTTATCAAAAACCTGCTCTTAAATTTCCATTTATTTGATTTCTAAGTTGTTTAATTTTCATGTACCTTCTATCCTCAGTTGCTGTTTTTATGAGACACTGGAAATACTATTTTTTTCCAGTTGAGAGACAGCTATGCATTATGGGAACTGAAGCTTTAGGATTGACACAACTGAAAATACCTTTTCCTTGGAAACTGAAATGCTTGATAGGTGCTCTCTGTTTCCGAGGAATACAGATTAGAATTGCAAATACCATGGTAGGAAACAGAACATCACCTACAGGAAGCTTGCAAAAAGTTTTCAGATCTCTACTCCTTGTGGTTTTGTCTAAATATACTTGGAACAAAGATTTGCAAACTATATGTAGCAATCTCATTTACAGGTATTTAGATGTGTCACCATCAGATATTTATTCAGCACTGGAAAAGGTCTTACAAAGAATCAGTTGATTTCAGAGTTGTATGTCAAAGCTATAGGTTTATTAGAATCATTGATAACCAATTCAAAAATGTACTTTCTCTAAAATCACTAGTTTGGAACACTTTGACTTTACAGTTCCTGGTTGTTTTTTTTTTCCCCCCTCTCTTTTCTAAATGCTTGAGTGATGTAGTTCAAGATAAAGCAATTGTTCATGGATTCTCTAGGCCAGTGTATCCCTCTAGTTCAATCCCATATTTGGGAAATTTCATCAAAATTGTTTAGTACTAATCTTATTGATCAATCCTGTCAGCTGTGGTTTTTAAGATAAGCTGCTATAACCGTAGTTGTACGGTCACATTTCTAAGGCCTGCAATGGGTGTACATGGTAAGAATAGTCATCTTGGAAAACAACTCTGTTGTTGCACAGATGTGCTAAGCATTTACAAGGACCAATCAACAATCAAGTAGTTTGTGTATGCAATGTCCTTGGAACAGACTGTGTTAGTTTGTTAAATTTGCCCTATATTGTTACTGACTGACTGAATGAAAGTAGGAGCCAGCTGGAGAAAGGATGCTCACTTTTGATTTTGATACTGGGTTTTTAAAAATTGATGGAAAATGTGAAGATTAGACTTAAGATACCTCTTAAACTACCAGCTTTTAGCCTGTGAGGGAGTTGTGAATATGGCCTTCTAAGAAAATGCATATAGGCAAGACATAAACAAGCATTATTAAAATATTGATTTTTAAACCTTATTTTCTTCCCCGCCATGTTGTTCTCACAGCTCAACTCATCTCATATGCTGCATTTCTCCACTCCAAGAATTTCAAGTCCCATCCTCCGCACCATGAGCCCTATAGCCTATCTATCCATCCACTCGGACCCTCTGAAAGAGGCTGGTTTACCAAGGAGTCAATCAGCTGAGAGCCACTCCTCTTCCTCCCGCTCAACTGGTCGTAGGCAGCTTCCTGTCATTCCCTGTGGCAACAAGTTCCCCCCTGTCATTCGCATCTCAAAAGCACAACTTCAGCAGGTGAATAAGCCTTGTCTTCATAAAAATGACTGCACTGTAGCAGTCATCTGCAAAGTTTAACATTTTCAGTTGCTCTGCACAGTCCGGTAGTAGGCATATGCTTAGTCATACTGCTATACACAACATCCTAAAAAATATTTTGAAAAATCAAGTTAGGGAATAAGAACGGATCTTGTTCTGGATTAGAGTCAGGAACACTCTATGAGGAAGATATATTGTCACCCTTAGAAGAGGTAAAATTAGAGAGGGGAATATTTAAGAAGCAGTTATTCAGGTTATGATCTGGAGCACCAAGCATCTATGGATGTTCTGGAAGATAGATTCACTTTCTCAGAGGGATTTTTTTCTTGGAAAAGGTAGGATTACAGAATCTAGAAAACAGATTTTGCTTCTTTCAAAACTAAGATGAAAATATCTTTTTTTTTTTTAATGTGTTCCTATAATCAGTGCCAGATTGATTTTGAATTGGGAATACATATTAAAATTTGGACTACCTTAAATTAGTTTAATGTAAGAAGAAGGGATCTAGAGATAGTCAAATTGCTGCTTTGGGAATGAACAATTAATGAATTGTTCCACTGCTTGCAGTATAGAAAGCGAAGATGGGATTGTTAGGGTGGTGATAGCCAATGTCAGGTGGGGTGATAGCTAATGGAAGATGTCACTGGAGAAAGTGGACTTTTCATACTTTTGTATTTCCAGTTTCATTGCTATAGGAAAAAGATGAAGGCTTAGAATCATAATTAAAGTTAACCATAATTTGTATATTAGTCACAAAAATATTGAAATTTGCAAAGCAGCATGAGCTGGTAAAGCAGTATGACATAGCATTAATGCATAAGACCGTAACATATCATCATCATTTTACCATTAATATTTCATTTGGATTATATTTTGTGTTGCCTTTTATTTCCAACGTATTTTTCAGTATAAATATTTCTGCGTGAAAGACTTATTGTTTTTTTCAGTGAAGCATGCACAGGAGTATTGATATTAAAAGTGATCCATCAACACTAGCTTCTTTCAAACTTCCATAGGATCAGTGGTGAGTGATAACAAGGCAAAAAAAGTAGCTAGTGTACTTATGTCAGCATTTTGTCTGCTAACCCCAGAAGCAGTGATTTTTTTTTCTGCAACTCCTGGCTGCTTTTTATCTGAAGATAAAAAAATAGTTCTGCTCTCAATGTATGGAAACAGACAAACAGTAGCTCCCAAATGTTCATTATTGTGAACTTCATGGGATACCAAAATACCACATTTTTCATGATGACTGATGTACTGTCTAGAGAAAAGGACTTAGGGGAAATTAACTCATTAAAAGTTAAGCTTCAGTATTTTTCAGGATTAGTTTCTATCCCAGGATGCAAAATGACCTAATATTTTTTTGCCTTTATATCTACGATTTAAATTTTCCAATCAGAATATATTGCTGGTATAATTAGCAAACTGATAACAATACTCAAAGAAAGTAGGTTGGCACAGAGGGTCTTCTGTGGCTTCCTTAGTATGCAACAAATGAATACAGCTGCAATATTAGTACGGGCTGCAAACTGGTGTACTTTCTTGTCATGTGAAAAAGAACTGGTATTGCGCCAGGTGCTGCTACTGAGTGGAGTGAGGATTATATGTAGCATTCTCAGCCTCATCTTTCTTTTTACCTGGTAAGTCCATGACTGCTATTTTCCCTTTCAAGCTGTGATTTTGAAAGTCCTGACTCTGTTGAGAATTTAACTTCCAGTTTTTCATTTGCTATGGAAACTACAAGCACATGGTTCTTTAGTTCATTCCAACAATGAAGGCCTCATGTACTTTATGGTTCACTGAAGAACTGAAATAATTTTGCAAGCCCTTCTCTTTTCTATGGTGCAGTAATGTTAGATACTTAGCAAGCTAGAAGTTCCAGCAGCATGAAAGATGAATATGCATGTTAATAACCTAAAGCTTTTCTCCAGTTAAATTTTAAAAAGAATTGTAATGTAATTCTATATTATTCTGTATAAATATTTGGTACTGAATATATTTTCATGTATTTCCTGCTGTTTGCAATTTCGTTCAGCATTCATAACTAATGAATTGAAAAAGTCAGGGATCTGTGCTGTTGAATTTATTTTCACGTATTAAAAAATCAAACATGATACATTTGTTCCTGAAATCGAGCAAAGGGATTTTCTTTCCTGATTGTCGATGAGTGAGGGTTCAGGAACTGTCACCCACCTTCCTCTAGTTGGACATCAGATAGAGGAGGTCATGAAATCTCTGTATATTCTCTGCTCACTAGCGCAGAGAGGGTATAGGTCTACCTTTATTTGTTCAATAAAGAGAACTCCTCCCTTGCCATACATATATTATGGAAGAGAATTGGAGTATTTTGCTTCAACTCTCCTTAGTTATTTAACTTGCAGCATAAAGAAAGAGTCTGGCAGCATTACAGCTGACAAAACCCAGAATGAATTATTTGACTGTACTTGAATCTGAAGAGTGGGGCCAGAGTGCTATTAGCATCCCTTTCCTCTATAGCATGGTCAAATTGTACAGCAAATCCTCTTGAAACATAACCTTTTTCTTTCTTCTGTGAATTTTTCAGACAGATAAGTTCTCTGAACTCTGCTCATTAGAGAACTGCGTAGAGTGTTGTGTGAGGTCAATGGAAAAGGTGATGTGAGTGCAGCAACTACTGGCCAGGACTCTGTGTGAAGAGATTGCTTAGGTAGACATTATGCTAAATGTGTAACTGTGTCTTGAGAAACAGTCAAAATCAGTGACCTCAGATTTTAATCTCTATGGTTTCTCAGCTCTAGTTCTTCAGTAAGATAGTGAACACCTCTTCCAGCCATGGCAGCCGTCTAAACTGGCTGCTATACGATAAGATTCAACCCTTAACAAAGGTGGATTATGGTTTTGTGTGTCATTCTGGCATATTTTTATATTTTTATGTGCTTAATGAGACATGTACAAGAGGGCTAATTTTAATTTAATGATTTTGTGGTTATTCATTGTGTTAGGGGAGGATAATCTGTGTCTCTCAGGTTAAGCAATTGGAATTAGTTGGCACTTGTAAAAATATTTTCTCTTATGTCTTAATTTTCTCAAACTACCTTACTGCAACATTTTAAAAATTATTTTATAGTTATATAGTTATATTATTAGTTACAAAATGCTCTGAAATCTTCCCACACAAGATGCTATGGAAATGCAAGCCATCATATTCATATTCATACCCAAGATGAGAAATACTATACTGATCTGAGTTGAAAAATTTACCTTAATTTTTAAGCATCTCACTGGAATTCAGGGACCTATGGAAGAATAAGGTAAGACTTCTTGACATGTTCAAGGGGTATTTAGAGACAGAATGCATATCCCTTGTAATTGTCATTTCATTTTGGATGTTTTAGGTTTATGAGCCAGGAGTGCACGTAAATGTTGTAAATTTTGCCATTTTTTATGAACTAATTTTGGCAGGTTTCACTAGTCTGCAATAGCAAGAGATGAACGTTTGCATTGGTTTTCATGTTTAACAATCCCTTTTGTAACCACAAATAAACAAACCAACCCCCAAAGATGCTTCTCGCTTGTTACAGTGTTCTTTTAAAATTATTTTTATTTTGTCAGTGGCATTAACTTGAAGTTGTCATGTGCATTAGGATTGCCTTAGAACTCAGCTAGTTAAAACTCTGGTTTAGCATTGTACCTATCCATTAAAAATGTCAGGAATGGTTATATTTGTCCAAAACCCTCTTCAGAATTTCAGTTTCAAGACATGGAACATTATCAAATAGATGTGTCCTCGAAGGAAAAGAGGGAAAAGGTTTTCTCTGTTCCATGAGTCTGTTTTTTTAACTGCTGCCATGGTTCAGGTTGGCTGTAGCAAAAAGGATTCTGATTTCAGGGTATACAGAATTGTTATGTCTCCCTGTACCCTATCCTGATGGAAACTATACCAAGTCAGCATGAGGTTTAAGTTAGTTTTTTCCCCAAGAGGCTGCTAATACCATTTACCACACTGGGTTTAATCAAGGTAGAAATTTCAAGGAGTTAGTCCAGCTCACAGCTACTGGAACTGTTTCATACACAGTAGATTTGATTTTGTTAAGTATGGAAAATGTGCGTAAGTTGCACTATCTCATTCATGACAGGATAACTGTTAATAACTTAATTTTTCAATAAATTTTAGCCTGAAAATTAAGTTGCTGTGATGTTACAGCTTTCACTCATCATCACTGGAAGTGTTTGATAGGGCTTATGACCAGATTCAAAGGCACTCTCCAATTCAGAATTCTTACAGTTTTCAGTTGTTCCTCTTAGATTGTGAAAGGCCATCGACACATGATCACTGCTACAGTGTCATTATTTTCTTCATTAGTAAGTTTTTCTGTAGTATGTCGATTTTTCATACAAAAACACATAGGATGGGGAGTATCAGGAAGCATTATTATAGAAGAAAAAAGAGGATGTCTGGAAGACACATATAAGCTCACAAGTTACTTGCAGTCTTTTAAGCAACTGGATTTTATATTGATCATGATGTTTCTTGAACAATTTTTATCTACACAGTCTTTCTAATGCAAACAAGTAAAAAATGTTATTTGTTGCTTTTATCCAAGTGGCAGAGGCAATTGCTTGATATGTAGAAATCTAAATGGTGCCTCCAAGGCTTAGTAGGGTCTTTTGGCCAAAGGAGAGAAATTCTTCAGGTGTGCTTTTTTCACATCTGCCTTTGGTGTAAAGAAGAATTTAAAATTACAGCATGCTAGGTTAGCTGTGCTTTCAATGGAAACTTTCCAAGTTGTAAATTAGGGAATTAACAGTTGAGGACAAGCACTCGGTATGAACCTTTTAATTTTTTTTTTTCAAATAATGTGTTGCCTGTAGAGAACACATCCATTTTTAGTGACAGAACCCTCTTGGCCATTCTCCTTCTGCAGGTTTCTCTATCAGAAGCAGCAGAAAAGTCATAGTGAAGGTCAGGACAATAAATTAGCCTTGGTAATAGTGTCCAC